TCTTTTTTCGAAAAAAAAAAAACAAAAAAAAAAAAACTACAGCCCTCTGCGATCAGCATCCTTTCGTAACCATAGCCGACAAGTCCAGCGTCCACGCACAGTCCACTACCTCGATGTTGACGGTACTGGCATTCCCCTACCGTAACGTACGTTTCTGTCGGCGCCAGGACTGACGTCATCAGGGGGTCGGCACCTCTTTGGTAATAGGGCGGCGGTCAACCTTTTTATCAGTTGCCGTCGCCACGAAGTTGTCCTAAACTAGGTCCCGGTACCGTTCCCAATCAGGAGCCTTCCTATTGATAAAATTTTCCCAGAGTCCAAGAAAAGAAGCCTCCCGGATATCGCAGAAGCCACAGTTCTCTTCCGAGCGTCAACAGAGGCATCTCAGGATTCTCAGCCAGTTCCACCGTGGTCGTACAGGCTCGAATCCTAGCAAAGGCACTGTTAATAACAGCTTTCTTCTGTTTCTTATCGGTGTACAGCCCGTGACTCTGCATAGATCTGTATGAAAAGTCCCCAGACCAAATATTGTCCTCGTTTTTTCCTTTATACCGAATCTCGACCCGATTCGGAAGTTGGCACACTTTCAGTTCACCCCCCAAAAATATCCAAGTGCCATTCCCCGAATCGGTCCTTTTTGAGCTCCAGATTACTGTCATAGATTTCCCCCAGCCTATCTATCACTCCCTTCGCCCGAAGGTTTTCTGACCTTTTTTTTTTTTTTTTTTTTTTTTTTTTTTTTTTTTTTTTTTTTTACCTTGAGTTGCTTTCCCATATGAAAACAGATAAGTCATCGACCAGCCTCACCCCTTGAACCAAGTTCCTATCCCTCCCCAAGGAAACAAGAAAGTTGGCTTCGTCAAATATACACAGCAGACAGGCCAGCGGCCGGCTGCTACACTTACCCATAGGCACCCCCATGGTCTGTCTGAGGATCCTATTCGCGGCCACAAGGTACGCATTGTTGTGCTCAAATTTGACGAAGTCAACTATCTGTTGCGAGGAAACAAACAGCCATTCCTCCCCTCTTTGCTTAGCAAAAGACACCCCTTTCCCCCTCTTTTTTACGAAAATCCCCTTCGGAGTTCCTTCCCTTTTTCCTCATTACCTCCATCAACCATTCCACAGCCTCGATGATCGACGCGTGGGGCAGCTCATTGAACATCTTTTTAATGTCAAAGGAGAGGCCTCTGATGCACCCATTTACCCTCTTTCTCTGTCACAGAGGCCATTTCGGAATCTTGTCCAGTCTCCCTTTCAGATCACCCACCAATCTAAGATTAAAGTGGCCAGCCGGAGATAGCAGCAGAATCATCCAATTCAGAGCTCTAGCGACTCTTCTACTTGCTTGCTTCGAAGGCTCACAAAAGGAGGGTGTAATGGAACGGAACTTACTCACATCCTTATGTTTGGGCATTATGTAGGCCCTCCCCAAACTCCCTTTCCCCTCC